AAATATTTAAAGCAGACCAAAAGACTCCTTTAAAGAATCCTTTGGTATGTCCACGTAAAAATAAAGATCTGCAATTCAAAGTTTAATCTCCTCAACGCCGTATATTTTTCGCGAAGACCTTGTTTATAGGTTGAGATACTAAATTGCTGAAGCCACAGTGGAAGTGAAATTGATATGTCGTCTCTCTATCATGACGTCTGTACATTTTCGCGTCCTTGAATACAAAAATAAAAATCAACATTCGACGAACTGCCAATTCTACTCACCCATATACCGGTCCAAATCCCCATATATATAACACCAGTAAAACTTCCCCCGATACGATCTGCTATACCGAGACAGACGAGTAGAATCCCGACAATAATATGACAGACGGCAAGAACCCTTGCCTTGATAAGAGTCTTTGTTGAATTATCCGCCATGTTGTTAGTGTTTCAACCGGCAATATGTGCGACGAACCATTGAGTTATTAACACACAATTTGCATGATGAACAGGAATTATTGACAAGAACTTGGTGAAGCTATGTTGGAAAGCTATTATAATTTTGCTATTATCGTCATCATCATCATCACCATCATATTATTATTATTATTATTATTATTATTATTATTATTTTACAAAGCTGCAAAAGAGGTCACTCACACTGGGGTGGATTTGCATTTCTTGAATCGACACATGCGATGATTAACGATGAATTAAGCTGGGAACCGCTCAAGCCTAACACGAAGTACAATATAAGATGATTTGTACCCTTAACCCTTTTGTTCCAACTCGGGTAAGCTTGTTTTCTGGACGAAAAAATGGACGAAAATAATAACAAAATGCCTGTAAAGCAGTGAAAGCAATGACCCCAGCAAAGAGATGATAAAACTGCTAATTCATGTTGTTTGCCAATTCTGAAAGTAGCAGCTCAAATCGTCTCAATGTTGAGTGCTCTCTAGAGAGGAAGAAGGATATGATAATTAATATAGTAAGTGGTTTGAACCCAGGAGTATCAGTAGTTCGTATAGTGTGATCGTCCGGGTGAGGGTAGTTCTGAAAAGAA